CATGTAAGCTAGCAAACAAGCAAGCAAGCAAAGAAGCAAGAAGCAAAGAAGCAAGAAGCAAAGAAGTAAGCAAGCAAAGATGCAAGCAAGCAAGCAAACAAGCAAGCGAGCAAGCAAAGAAGCAAGGCAACCAGGAAACAAGCAAGCACGCAAGCAAAAATGCAAGTTAGCAATCAATCAATCAATCAATCAAGAAGCGAAGGAGCGAAGAAGCAAGAAACAAAGAAGCAAGCAAAGCGAACAAGCGAGCTATTGGAGCTGTGTGCTGGAATGAGTGTTGACGTGTTTGTGATTCTTGCATGTGCATCTTTGTTTGTGTGTGCCAGACAAATTGCCGAGACAAAGCACATCGGGGTTCATCAGAGGCTGCGCTTATATAATGCCGATAAGCCAGTGTGCCATTGTTGCAGGTCGAACTCGAGGGAGAATCCTAACTGCTTTTGCGGATTTGCTCCTCCGCCGAATGGCGTGAGGAAGCAGGGTCTGTGGCAGAAGACACCGGATGTTGTGCTGGAACTTGGGCCCAATCCAGAAGAAAGCATGCGATCCGTGATGGACCGCCCCATTGGTCTCGTGAATCTTGGCGCCACTTGTTACGTCAATAGTGTGTTGCAGTGTTTGTACATGAACACGGCCTTCCGGGCCGGTCTGTTTGCAGTAGAGACGGATATTCTTATGCAGAACAAAGTCCTGTATCAGTTAGGCCGACTCTTTGCTGAACTGCAGCTGGGTTTGAAGAACGCAGGCGATCCTCGAGAGTTCGCGAGGACACTGCACTTGGATAATGGTGTACAGCAGGACGGGCAAGAATTCATGAAACTGCTGCTGACTTTGTTGGAAACTATGCTCGCAAAGTCCAAGAGGGAAAGTGTTCGAGGACTCGTGCAAGGCCTATTTCGAGGAACCTTCTCGTATGCGACCAGGTGAGAAGAAGAAAGATCATCTTTTTTTTTTTTCTTTTTTTCTTTTTTTTGCAGGGTGACGGCCTTGAGATATCATCGTTGAATTGACCGGCCCCTGGCAATTCAGAATGATTTTATTCTCTACATCTGAGGGCATCTGGATTCGAACTTGAGTCTGGATGCGACCAGGTGAGAAGAAGAAAGATCATCTTTTTTTTTTTT